CTCGCATAAGGGCATTCTGCACCCATCTCCTGGATCTTTCTCTCTGCATTCTATATAAAGGATTTCTAATGGATCCTAAAATTTAATTCTGAGCCCAGCAGTAGATAATTTTCAGGTGTATCCTCTGTCCTCATCTTCAGGGTTTTGTTCTCATCTTCTTTTCTGGTATTTTCTGCAGGCTTTTCATGGACTGTGCTCCATACTCATTCAAAAATATTGAGGGTTCGGAGCTATTGCATGCCACTGCCACCAGGTGAGGCATATGCACTGCCAAGCTCTGGCTGGATGCTTTCTCATATCCTCACCACTGCATGGGTCCTCCTTCCCTGCTTCTGTGCAAGCTATGGCAGATAGTCATCTAACGGAGCATATGTGCATTCCTCCTGCTTCTGTCACTTGTTTCTTCTTTGGATTGTTTTCACCTTAAGTACATGGGACTTATTAAAATCTGTCCTCTGCAGCATACTGTACTCACTAGACTTATGTTCAGTGAGGCCGGTAACCATGTCTTGTAGACCTGGATATCTGCATATGACATATCAAAAGAGTAGTCTATGCTCTCCATCTTCCATTCCCTTTAACATAAAATTACTGTAGTCCAATTTCAATGACACACAAAATACCAAAGATTGATTCCTAATAATTTTCCTTGGAAGCTCTATTTGTGGTAAAGTATTCAATGAATCATTGAGATTAATTATAATTTAGCATCCTTTGTATTTTTCCCTAAGAAATGTATAGTGGGAGATTAAAGCAGGGGATGAAGCTCAGTGGCAGAGCATATGCCTAGCGTGTGCAAGCCCCAGAGTTCAATTCCCAGTACTTCAAAAACATAGGAGTACAGTTATAAAAGAAAGCAAGCAAAGTAGATGTCTGTCATCACTCTACCACAAAAAATGACAGACATGAAAAACGTAAGGGTAACATGGAAGGGACATGTTTTTATGTAAAGAATAAATTATAGCCTTCTCTATATTTAAAAATGTGTAGCTGGCCTGACCAGTTTGTGTCTTCTAGCTGCATGAGCATATCTCCAACTATTATAGCAAAGTAAAGTTGAACAGTTTGAGCATGTTTCTAAGTTGTAGACACGTCCCTCTTGTAGGATTTGCAATCTATCTCCATTTGCCCTGCATTCAAAAAAAATGTTCTCCAGCTGTGTGCGGTGGTGCATTCCTATAATCCCAGCAGTTCAGGAGGCTGAGACAGGAGGATCCAGAGTTCAAACTCAGCCTCAACAAAAGTGAGGGGCTAAGCAACTCAGTGATACCCTGTCTCTAAATAAAGTACAAAATAAGGTTGGGGATGTTGCTTAGTGGTCCGGTGCCTCTGAGTTCCATCCTTGGTACTCCTCACATATCAAAAAAACAATTGTTTTTTTCTACATGACCCCATAAGCTCCTGAAAGTACACACTGTATCTTATTCCTCCTAATAAATTATATCACTGTAAGACTGTTATATAAATTATATCACTATAAGACTGTACTCTAGAGAATAAGAATTTATTGGATATAGAAATTAATAAATATTGACTTTAAAAATGGGGGTGTTCAAATATTTGTTGAATGAATATAAGAATAAAAGGTCATTATTCCAGATAAAGTATTTGCATCACTACTTATCACCATCTTTAGGCCATGGTCTCCCTCTACTTCCAGATTCAATCAGTAATCACATGCAATATATTTTACTTGTCTATCTGTCCCCTATTGCAACTAAATATTTAAAAAATAACTTTGAAAGATCAAATTGTTCTAATTGTAGTAAACTATTAGAACAAACTTGAAAATATAAAACAAAATTGTGGCCTTTCCCAAAATGAATGATTATGTAACCATAATATATCAGAATCTGTGAATAAGACAAAAAGATCTATAAAGTGAGAGTATATATTATTAAATTCCTTTAACAAAAAATAAAATGATAAAATAAATTAAATGTATAACTCAAAAAGTTAAGGACATAAGATGACATCTGTGAAGATAGTATCAAAAGATAATAAGCTAGAAAACAAAGACAAGAAGAATTAATTTTAAAAATAAAAAAATGGTGTTGAGAAAAATTAACAAAATAAAAAAATACTACTATCTGACCTATTTCAAGTAAAAAGGGAAAACCTATTTCAAATGCATAATATTGAAAATGGCAAAAAAGCCCTCAAAGAGAAAAATATAATATTTCAAGAAAGCACTTTGTCCAATATAACATAAATATATTTGAAAGCTTCAATTAAATGCTCAATATTTTTGGAAAAAAATGTAGCTTGGGAGGAGGGATGGGGAAATGTAGTTAAAAATACCGAGTAGTCGATGTGTAGATTGAGCACGTCCACAGATCTGGTGCACCACAGGCAGCCTAGAGTTAGTATTGTGTTGTATGCAGAACTGTAACAGTGAGCAGAATATAACTGCTCTTGTCACAGAGGGAAAAGAGAAACTGGGTGAGAAGTTTGTATTAGGTAGTGTCCTCCAGAGAAACAGAACCAGAAGATGAACCAATTTATAATTGCAACAAGGTCACAGAGGCTGCAAAGTTTCTCTTTGATACCTGCAGGAGAGGATCCAGGAGTGTGGCTTAGTCCAAGAAACCAGAAGCTTGAGAATAAGGGAGGCTGATTGTGCAGCCCCGAGTAGGATCCCAGAGGTCCAACAGGCCTTGTAGTGCCTCTAGAGCAAGCCCAACTGATTAACAGCCAAAGAACCTGGAGCCCGATGTCCAAGGGCCTCACAGGGAGAGAAGGAGCCTCACTCCTGAAGGAAGAAGCAGAGAGAGAGAGAGAGAGAGAGAGAGAGAGAGAGAGAGAGAGGATCCCCTTTCTTCCACTTTTCTGTTCCATTCGGGGCCCCAGCTGATTGGGTGGTGGGTACCCATGTTCCCCTCCTTAGTTTGCTGATCCACACACCAAACACTCTCATAGATACACCTAGAAGTAAGAATTTACTAATTTTCTAGGCATTGCTCAGTCCAGGCAAGTTGACACCCAAAATTAACCATCTTGATGATGGATATGTAACATTTTACTATATGTATATAACCCAAGATATCATGCTGTATACATTAAATATACAAAAACACTTATTTAAAAGACCATAAATTACCAAAATTGTCTTTACCCAGTAAAGACAGAAAGAATAAATAGACAAATTACTACACACACACACACACACACAATGAAAAGTACATAGAAACTCCTGTACAAAAAAAGACAAAAAGTAAATAAGCACTATTCCAAGGCCCCTTACATTATTCAAAAGCATAAAAATAACACTTGTATAGAAGAAAACAAGTATAACTTTCATGCCAAGATCTAAAAAAGATAATGTTGAACAAAGAAACTAAAGACCAATCTGACTTACAAATGCAAGTATAAAAATTTCAAAAAAAAAATTGTAAAACCCAGAATTGAACAGAATTTAAACAAAAAAAAAACATTTTGGTCATGTGAGGTTTATTCCAAGAATACTACAGTGGTTCCACATTTAGAAATTGATTGATGTCATCCATCATATTTGTAGAGCCATGAGGAAAACAGTGTAACATCTTCATTGATCAGAAAATCTTCTGTGAACCGGGTGTGGTGATGCACAACTATAATCCCAGGGACACAGAAGGCTGAGGTGGGAGTATCACAAGTTCAAAGCCAGCCTCAGCAACTTAGTGAGGCCCTAAGCAATTTAGTGAGAACTTGTCTCAAAATTGGGACATGTGTCTGGGAATGTGGCTCAGGGCTTAACTGCTCCTGGATTCAGTTCCCCGCTACCAAAATGATAAAAGGAATTGCCACAAACTCAATGGCTTCAAAACCCATAAATTTATCATCCAACAGTTCTGGGTAACAGAAGCAGCTTGAAATGAGAAGCCTAGGCTAAAATGAAGGTGTGGGCAAAGCTGTGCTCTTTCTGGAGACCCTGGGGAAGGTCAGTTCTCTTGCTTTGTTTCCAAATTATATGGTCTACACACATTCTTCAACTTGTAGTGCTTCCTCCATCTGCAAACCCAGCAAAGTCCGGCAGTCCTTGCCACAGTGCCGTCTCTGGTTCCTTCTCCTTCTGCCTCCCTCTTCTGCTTACACAAACCTTTAAGCCCATTAGACAATCCAGAAGAGTTTCTGCAATTTAAGGTCAGCTGCTAGGCAACTGTAATTCCATCTACAACCGTAATTCCATTTTCCATGTAAACCCCAAATTCACAGATTTCAGGGCTTAGGATTCTGCCTATTGCAAACTCTTAAAGGAGAGAGATCGAAATTTACATGTCAGGAATATGAGACCAAAGGAGTTAAAATGGGCTGCCTAACAATCACGCAGCTCATGTGGACATGGATTAGAATCATCCCTGTCTACCAGATCAGGGTTCTCCTCACAAACCAGATTCAGCAGCACATGCTATAAACTCTAGCCCTCTTCCCAATAAAATAATACATCAGCCAGGCATGGTAGCACACTCCTGTGATCCCAGTGGCTCAGATGACTGAGGCAGGAGAATCGCAAGTTCAAAGCCAGCCTCAGCAACAGCGAGGCACTCACCAACTCAGCAAGACCCTGTCTCTAAATAAAATAAAAAATAGGGCTGGGGATGTGGCTCAGTGGTCATGTGCCTCTGAGTTCAATTTACAGTATCCCTCTCCCCCGGAAAAAAAAATACATCACTCCATGTGTAGAATGTAGACTATTTAAAATGCTTAATACACATTATAGAAATCCAATGTGCATTTTCCTTTGAAATAAAAAACACAGCACCTGATTAGTATTTTTAGCATAACTCGGTGGTAATGGAGATGCCAGCAAACACCAGGGACAAGAATGAGATTTGAATAATATTTCTGCCAGTGGAACTTAAAAATCTTAGCACTGATATAAGAAGCAAGTTCTTCTTTTATTAAACATACATTGAACTTGCACTCGCCTAACGGGACTTCCTGTCACAGCGCTGAAACCCAGTGTTTGATCTTTAGACTGAAATTTAAGCTGACACACAGCAGTCACGTGTACACACACCCCCGTTTCTTTCAGTTAATAAATGTCTGGGCTCCTCTCTCTCGGAAAGGTTGGCGTTCTTCACTTTGGTAATGTCACGAGAGACACCTGTCCCCATTCAGGGAGGCAGCAGGGAAGGGGAGCTCTTAGAACCACAGAAATGAGAGAGCAGAGGAACCAAAGAGGTCAGCACATCCATCAGCGTGACACTCGGGCTGCCTTCTGCAGGGACCTTGTCAGGGATTTGCTCTCCTCTGTTTTGACTCCAGAAAAAAAGGTACTGTCAACCTCATGTAGAGGGTTACTCCACAGTTCTACCTGTTAGGTGCTCTTTCACTCAATTAATTTCTTTCTTTTTTTTCTTTCTTTCTTTCTCATAACCCGATGCTCAAGGGCATGATATTTTAGTTTCATTTCATACATTGACTTGGGAGCTTGCCCAGATCATTTCAATCTGCGGAGAGAACCAAATAACTTCTGTATTCTCTAAAGAGGTCTTTGACTTCTTTGGAGAAAAGACAAATCCCGCAGAGGACGGAAACTGAAAGATTGTCTCCATGGCTGAGTTTGGGGACTGAGATTAAGAAGGAACCAATTGATCCCTGGAGAGCATCACTCTTGCTCTGGCAGTGACTGAGGTTCCATATCCACAGATCCCTAAAAACTTGCTCAGGCTCTCTGGACCCTGGACATATCCAGGGAAGAAAACCATTTGAGACGGGAGCGATGAAAAAGGTCTCTATTGGATTTGGGGGAAGAATCAATTCAACACAATTCTGCTGCAAAGTACAAAGTGCTTAATCAAGAAGTTTGAATGGTTTATTTACTTTTTCTCTCTGGAGTAGACGTGTGCTTTCATAGCAGAAAAGAGACTTGGTAGTCCAAAAAACTTTGGTTTGAAAATCACTCTAGTACAAGCTGGGGAGGTTTATGAAGCTATAGTAAGCACCATTAGTCTCAATTCCTTCCTTTAAAAGGGTGGCAGGCAATGGTGGCCTATTTGTGGGTTGATTTTGAGGAAGAGAAAATACACAGACATTGGGATCACACAGCATGAAATCATCCAAAGAACAGGATTTCAATATGTAATTGAAACCATTAAATTCCTGGCTCACCTTCTGCTTCACGTCTTTTCTTTTTCTCTTCATCAGAGGGAACAGGACAGACAGAGCTGCTGCGGTTAAGAAGGCAATACCCTTTGGACAACTGTGGAGCCCATCTAACTCTCTGAACCTCAGAACCTGTGGACTCTCCAAACCTCGGCTTGTCCCTTCTCCAGCAGCAAGTCCCTTCACCACTTCCCACGCTCACCTCCACACCTCTCATTACCACCTCAAGCGTGAAGACTCAAGATTACAGCTTTTCTGCATGGAGTTCAAATCCCTCCACAAGCTGGTCTGTGTTGATGTCTCTCACTCAGAGGTACTGGACTATTTACTTTTTCATTTATTCAACAAGTATCTATAGGTTGCCTAGTAAGTGCAAATCGCTGCATTAGTGCTAAGTAATTAAACTTGAACATTTTGACAGGAAAAGATGGTAAAGTTGCAATTTTATAGTTTTAAATTTTCTTTGTACTTAGCTTGTTTTGTAAAATAAATATGGACTAATTATGTAATTCTTTTCAAAAACCCTACTGGGGCTATATTATCTTTATTGTATTAATTAAGACATAAAGACTCTGAAAAATTAAGCAAATCCCCCCAAAATAAAACAGTGTAGAAAAACGCCAAGTAGAATCTGAATTACAAAATTTAAAAATCTGCAGTTTTTCATTTTATTTCTCTTTGGCCTTAAGATATAGAAAATTTTTTTTTATCTATATCATCTATCATGAATTTTGACGAATACTTTTGTATTGTCAGAAATACTTTCATGTAAATGACAATTAATAAAACATTTAAGGATGCCTGTTTATGCCCTCTATGCCCCAATAAAAGAATTTCCTGCCTTGGCCAGAAACCACTGAATGGCTTGGTTGAACAATGTCGTTCCTGTGTCTATAATTACTTTCTGGCCTGGAGTTCTTATCCTTGGGAGGTTCGGAAGCATTATTTATACATGACATTTTGAGGTTGGTAACTCTCTTCAAAACTTTGCCTTCCTTCCAATGTAAAGGAACAGAAAATCTCTTTCCATCCATTTTTTATCTCAAAAACTCACAGACATGTAATCAATTTTGACCCATTTGGGAACCTTGGCATACACTGGGAAAACATGGTCTCTGTGACCTTGGTAAAAATTGCCCCAGTTTTCCAACCAGAATCAAGGAAAATCTTAATGACATGTGTCTCTTGTCAAAATCTTCTCATTCATAAGATTGGCCAGGCTGGACAAAGACATAATTGTTACATGGAGATTGTTTGGTTTTGGTCGTCTTTTTCTAGTTGGGTTCCAGGGTACAGTGAAAATGTTATTCTCTTACCAAGCAAGGACATAAATGATAAGAATGTGATAAGGATAAGAATGTGACCTAAGGTATTTTAAGGTGATTGTCCTTTCTCCTCCAGAATTCTCTTCTGTTTTGTGATCTCATTGCTAGCAGTGGGTAAAAAAAAAAAAAGCTAACCATCATCACCCAAACTATGGAACTTCCCAAGTTCAGGTTCCTCTGTCTCCCTAACACTCTGGGTTAGCTTTTCTCCAACACTTGGTCGTTCAGGTTGTGTTCTTTGGGAGTTATGAAGTTTTCTGTCACACTCTCTGATAGATCTCTTTAGTGTCAGCTTGGATATAGACACTTAGTGGGCTGCCATGGTTTTCTTCACAGAAGCTAGATGTTGGAAATGGCTGCTCACATTTTCCTCTAGAAGTACCGTCTATGAGGATACCATGCTTTAGATGGAACTCAGGCTCCCACACCCTCTGCATCCACCTGGAACCACATGAGGAGGCAAGGCCATATGCATAGATGGTGGAGCACTGAGCAATTCCTGTTGGCAAAGCAGTGTGTCACTTTGCTGGTTGTCACAGAGCTACCTATCCTCTGGATCTAGGTCACACCTAGGGTGCAGACTTTTGCTGACAACTTTGATTTTGTTGTCAGGACTCCTGTGATGGTTTGGCTGTGATTTCAGTCTTTAATCCTATGTCTTCCACGGATCTCACACAGTTTCCAGTAGAGGATATAGCCTTTTATATGCATCATGATTATTTTTACTTATTTATATGTCATTTTTGGCATTTTGAGTCTGGAGCAAAAATGGGAAGCATGGCCTATTTCAGACTACCATCTTAAACAAGTGAATGAAACTATCAAAATTTTAGTTATCCCACCATTTGCATTCCCCGCTTAACAAATTGCACCACTGAAACAACATGTGCCTTTGGGTCAACTCCAGACTGATCCTGTATCTTCTACCAAAGGAAGACAAAATGAAAGCACAGTCTCTCATTTCCACAGGGATTCTCCCCCTTGGAAACACCAATGGTAGAGCAAGCTCACCATGCACTCGTAAACAACTCACATGACTTTGGTACAACAGAACACAAGGCACACACAAGTAACATGAGGCGTGAAGGGACAGCAGAAGCCTAGAATTTAGAGTCATCGATGCACCCTGTCCCCATGCCCTAAGGCTCAGGAAAGCTGCCAGGTGGATGGAGCCTCATCTGCCTGTCTCACACTACAGCTGAGGGACCCTGGAGACAGCCCGCCTGGGTTACATACCTTGTGGTCACATGGCCCACTGGGCTAACATTGAAGCTCACCCTGTACTGGGGGGAAATGGAACAAAACTTAGGCTGGTTCAGCCGGTTCCTCTCTTATCTCAGGGTGTCACATTCCCAGTAACTTCTAGTTATTCTTGAGAACTACAAGCAATAAAAGGGGGCAAAAATAGGTTAATCTAAGGCCAGCCAGAGAACTGTCCTGCACCATGTAAATCAAAAAATAAGTTTAAAGGAGAATATGTACTCACCACAGTAGGGAGTTAAAATAAAGCAGGAGATCACTGTCTAATGAGACTCATAGGAATCAGCCATCTTATTCAGAGTAGAATTTATTAGAATTTTCAAGGACACAGGTAATCACAAAGATGTAGAGAGAGGCCCAAGACCCCAAGGTAACAGGGGAGACATATGGTCACATTATTAACTCCTGGGCTTCTCCACTTACACTCTTGAGAGTTTCCCAGCTTAGCAGGCCTCTTTCAGGAAAGCTCCTTACAAATCCATGTATTTCAGATTATTTTTTTTGCTCAAAAAACAGCCCTAGACAACCAGGAATATTCTGCTAAAAGCACTCCTTGCATAAGGGTTCTGATGCCAGCTGAAATTATTTAGCTTGTCTGACAGGTCTAGCATTAGTATGTTAAAGGTGACACTGGTCACCTGCCTTCTTTCGTTCTTGGGAGCATTTCCTTTCCTACCCATCACTCTACCACTGTCCCCTGAAAAGGGATAGATGAATTGAGGACTTGTTGCCTAACTCTTTCCCCCCAAAAAAATAGTTAACATGAAATTAATTTTATCTTAAAGGGCCACTATAGCATTCAGTTTTAGTTTAATCGGGGAATTGAGTTGTCCTTGTCATTGTTGGCTTAATTCTTCCTTGGGATCCTCTGGGAAGTGGAAATTTTGATAAATAGCACAGAAATATAAACATTGTGAGAATTATTCTTTATCTAGGTAAATTATTTTTCTTATTCCTAAAATATGCTTTGTACATCTTCTACTTGTCTGGCCACTAAATGTGTGGCATACCTTGCCATTAAAAGTGTGACATCCCAATTGTGAGAATTTCACTCTGAGAAATTGAGATTTCAATGTTTACTAAATAGCACATCTGGTATTTAATAAATTCTGGCAATTTAATGAATAGAAATGGATAAGTCTCTAAGTTAGATGTTGTGAGTGGTTTCTGGTTTGTCTGTCAACTCCTATCCTTTGATAATGACTATCTGGACACTGTGTTGAAGATTCTGAAACTAGTTACAGATTTGACAATGACCAAAACAGTAGTGTGATTAATTAGTACACAACATCCCTTCTCATTCACATTGGCTTCATCATAAAGATAAATTATAACATTTAAATGGCAAGGATAAAATTATGTATATATATATATATATATATATATATATCTTTTCTATTATGGGGACATGAGTTTCATTATTCTTTTGATGATATGGCTAATCACCCACAAAAATCCCAGAATCTGAAGTATGAATCCCTCTTTCTTCACTCTTTCTCCAGTGTCCAACCCCACTCCGTCTTAGAAGAGGACAATAATGTTTTCTTCCCTCTGGTTCCAAACTAAAGCTAGTGCCTCATGTAGTTTATGCCACTCAAAAAATGTCTATTGAAATAATAAAGGCAGGTGCAATAGTACACCTAAAATACTTCACGACTGTGAATGAAGCCCGGCTCTTTCTCACTTTTGCTCAGACAAAAGGAAAACCTCAACCTGCTCTTACTTTTCTGTTTATTCATTGAAATGCATATAAACTGCCTGTTAAGTGGTAGTTTTCCAATAGGCACTGAAGATCTAACGATTAATGTAAAATACTCCATTCTGGTCAGAATTCAGTAAGCATCTACACAGAAAAATAAGAAAGGGGTATGGATCTAATGCTAAGTGTCATTTCAGAGCTATGTTGAGGCTCCTGTGGAGGCCCAGGGGAGATCGAGCTAACTCTGAATGTCACGGCTAGGAGATCAGAAAGGGGGATGGAGGGATGGCTCAGGAACGAGGAGTATGAAGAAGTGCAATCAGGAGAATAAAGGGCAGGGAGTAGAGTCTGGACACAGATAAGAGAGTTTCTATAAAATCCAGAAAGATGAAAGGGGATTGAGTAGAGAGAGGATTCAGATAGAAGTGGCTTCAACTCCCTGGAGTGCTGAGTGTGGGTGAGTGGAGGAAACAGGAGAAGTTGGACAGGTAATCCCAGATCATTCTCTGGTGGGTTGGGAGGGGGAATGAACTGTGCATTTAAAGGTGCAAAATCATGATATTCATGATGACAATTACACCTTCAGGCAAAGGCTGAATAAAACTGAGGCCAACATACTCTGATGAAAGAGATATAAAGACTAGAGTGCCCCTCAGAAAGCTAACTTTTATTTTATTGTAGATAAGTTCATATGTCTTATGAATAAAATGTATAATAGAACTAATATGGATTAACTACTTAGCAAAATAGTATCTCTCATAATCCTTGCAGTATGTTCCAAGGTGAATGCTATTACCATCCCATTGGACACATGGGAAAACTGAGGTATGGAGAGACCATGTATCTTGCCCAAGGTGATAGGCCAGGCAAGCCAGGTGTTGATTAAGAGCATGTTCTCTTACATCAGCATGCCCTTGATGAATGACCTCCAAGGCTCACGTGGAGTGCATGCCCAGTGATCTTGCTCTCCGTCACTCCTGAAATCACCGGTCCTCAGCTACATTCAGAGAAGCCCCAAGTAAAATCCCA